GCATTTAGTAGTAACAGAAAACTAGATTAATAGGTGACTTAAATACATTGGGTTTATATTCCTCATGTAAAAATAAGTCCAGAGGCCGCTGAGTTCAAAGTTGGTCCCATGACCTGAGGATGTCATGAGATTCTGTTCCTTCTGTCATCCTGCCCTGATGTATGGTACCCTCCTGAGGGTGATACTATGACTGCTCTGCCCTGGGCTGAGGTATTCGTTCCAGGCAGAGAAAAGAAAGCTACCTCTGACAGAAAACCAATACTTTCCCAGAAGTCTACCCCAGAGTTACAGTGTAGACAGGATGCAGGGAAGACCTTTTAAAAACGTACACATTGCCACAATAAACAGAGTTCAGCTAGTGAGTGAGAGAGGGAAGTAGACACTGTGGGTGCCTTGAGGTGTCTGCCACATCCCATACTGACCCTTTGTTCTGACTTAATGTGTATTTGCAGCCAGCCTTTTAAAAATGGAGTCTCTCCCTTCTTTTTAAAAACACAAGCATCTGTGAGCTCGCTGCAGTCCTACGACTCAGTACTGTAAGATGGCACCACTTGCAAACAGGATGATAGGCCCCATGCATTTAGCTTTGATACAGATATGACATCTGTAGTTTGTTTATTTCAGTCAGGTTCATCACATTTTCACAAGATAGAAACTTAGAATAATCCTAATCTTTAAAGTTCTTTATTCTCTGACCCAATGCATTGAACCATCTTGATTTGATTCCTCTTCCCCATCCATCACTGGCCACCACCTCTGTAATCCATACTCTCTCATGTACAGTGCTTTGCAGCAGGTAGCTCCTTCTTCCTCATTGCAGTCATTAGCTGTCTAGTCCCGAAAGGTCGATTTTAAATACTTTGTCTCTGCTTCAATGTTTTAAAATCAAATTCAACTTGTTTTGGCCTTTCAGATTATCTTTCATAGCAGAAATACTGTACTTATTTCTCAGTGTCAGTGTTCTGCCCTAGTCAGAATGTTTCTTCACCATCAAATGAGGACATAGCTGTAAATTACTGTCAGGGATGCTTGGACCCTTTTGTCTGGTTGTGGCTCTTGGTTCCACTTGTTTCCTGCTTCAACCTCATTGTTTCAAGTCTTTTTTAGGATCTAGATACTAAGTTCCTTTCTTTTAGACATTTTTGAGTAGGGTGCTTGCCCTACAGGCATGAAGCTCTGGGCTTACTCCCTAGTACCACATAAACTCTAACTGGAGTGGTGAAGGGAAGTAAAGGCAGGGCCACCAGAAGTACAAGTCATTTTTGACTACGTAGTGAGTTCTACACCAGCTTGGGCCTTATGAGATCATGTCTCAAAAAATGAACAAATGCTGAAAACTTTAAAAATGTTATTTTTGTTTTATGTTCGCTGGTGTTTTACCTGCATGTATGTCTGTGTGAGAGTGTCAGAGACCCTGGAACTGGAGTTACAGACAGATATGAGCTGCCATGGGGGTGCTGGGAATTGAACCTGGGTCTTCTGGAAGAGCAGCCAGTGCTCTTTACTGAGCCATCTTTCCAGCCCTGCTGAAAACTTTGACAGTCCCTTTTGGGTTTTGCTGGGAATTGAACCCAGTCTTATGCAGGTTAGGAAAGAGCTCTGCCCTGTACTCTTTTTTGCTTCTTGTCTTACTTGGTGTGGTAAATGTTTCTCACATATAATTCAGTATCTCTGTATTTCTCTACTTCTGGGAGATTGTACAAATTTGCCTTTCCTTCCTCCTTTTCTAGCATTTGTCCACCTGTCATGCTGACCTATCTGTGATGTTAGTCAGTGTTTTGGATATCAAGTATACACCTATTCATCATTTTTCATGATTTTTGGTTCATTTGGTGAGGATACTCTAAGTTGAACCTAGGGCCTCATACATGCTAAGCAAACATTCTTGTTCTTGATGGTCCTCTTTTAATATGTTTATTTTAAAGTTCTTAGTTTATTTGTTCTCTTCCCCTCCCTCCCTTTTTCCCCCCCTCTGATTTTTAGGAACATGGTCTTTTTATGTAGCCTTAGTTGGCCTCAAGCTTGCTGTGTGGACCAGGATGGTTTCAAAGTTATGAAACTTCTCCTGAGCACTGCACTACAGGCAAACACCACCATACCCAGCTACCACACCTAGCCAATATTTTGAAATTTATTTGTCCTTTCTGTTGATGTTTTTAAAGTAGTTTCTTTTTATACTAATATAGGTAAAAAATTGTATTTTATGTACATGAGTGCTTTATCTGCATGTATACCTATACACAAGAAGAGGGCAACAGATCTCATTATAGATGGTTGTGAGCCACCATGTGGTTGGTGGGAATTAAACTCAGGACCTCTAAGAGAGCAGCTGTTTCTCCAGCCCCCCCCCCTTTTTTTTTTTTTTTTTTGATTTTGGAGACAGGGTTTCCCTCTGTAGTTGTCCTGGAACTCACAAAGATCCACCTGAGTTCTGGAATTAAAGGCATTTTCTGCCACAGCCCAGCTATCCCTAAGTTATATCTTAGAGCAATATAATTTGATGAAATTTACTCCAGAGTTAGGTAGGTATGGATTTAAAACTTGACTTAACCAATGGATACAGTTCTAAGCAATAATTTCTTACCTGGTTATTTTAAATAATTATACGTGTGCACATGTGTGATGGAGGCCATGCTTCCTTGTCATATTCTTCTGAGCTCCTGGTTGTTTTTCCTTCCCCTCAACTTTAGATGAAAAGAGGAATATCTGAGACAAGAACTCTGTACAAAGAAACATGAGTAGTGTTAGCAGAAATTTCTTTCCCATTTCTGTAAGAACAGGATCATATTGTATCAGAATATCTTGTGATAGAAGAATTTGTATGGTGGATTCTTTGCTTTCCTGTTGTTATGATAGAATACTCCAACAAAAACAAGATAGGGAAGAAATGGTTTGTTTTGGCTTACAGTCTCAGAGTGGGTAAGTCTACCATCACAGGGGAAGGGCATGGCAGCAGGAGCATGAGGCTGGCCTGGCAGTCAGGCACTCATCCACACAGAGGAAGCAGAGAGAGGGTGGGGGGAGGTGAGGCCAGCCCTAACAACAATCTAAACATTTGTCCTGTACCCACAGATAAGTGTAGTCTTCACCCCTCATCAAGGAAACTTCTCATTGCAACACACGGAGACCATTACAGAAAACCACAACTCATCAAAATGCAGATTTGTGGAGTTCAGTCTTAGTGGATACATTTATAAAACACTTCTGTACCTAAGGCTCAAGGAACAGTGTGGAAGAGGAGGTGGAAAGAGAGCCAGAGGACCAGAGAGTTTCCTAGGAATGTCAGAAGCTACACCCATGAAGTCTCACCAACATGACCACCCAAACATGAGCTGAATAGTGACAGTATCCATAGATATGCAGAGTGGACAGGGAAAAACCCCCAGGACCTCAGCTCTACACAAAATACTCCAGGCAGCTAAGGAATGCTGAGAGTTGGAGAAAATATTCTCCAGGGAAGAGTGCACCAATTGGTTATCTAATACCAAGTGGTTAGCCATGAAGACATACATACAAGGAACATTATACAGACTGAGCAAGATGTATTCAGGGTGTGTGTGTGTGTGTGTGTGCGCGCGTGCGTGCGTGCGTGCGTGCGTGCGTGCGTGCGTGCGTGTGTGTGTGTGTGTGTGTGTAATACCAGTTAATGAAAAAAGAGGCCATGAAGTTGAAAGAGGGCATGGGGTGCATATTCAGGAGGAAAATGAAGGAAGAAATGTAATTATAATCTAAAAAAACAAAAAAAGAGGTGAGGCCAGGCTACAGGGTATGATATCACCATGCCTGCTGCTAGTGATATGCTTCCTCAAACAAATATGTATTTCCTAGAAGTTTCATGATGTTCTTAAACCGCATCACCAGTGTTTGAGACATGAGCCTATGGGGGACATCTCTCATTCAAACAATGTATGGACTATTATTTCTTAAAATGTTTTAATTAAAACAGAACCATATCATTTACCTCTCTCCCTTTCCTCCATCCAGTCCCTCCCCATGAGGCTCCAACCCTCATGTTGATAGCTTATGTATGTACGTGTGTGTGGGTGTGTGTGTGTGTGTGTGTGTGTGTGTGTGTGTGTGTGTGTGTGTGTGTGTGTGTATTTGCACATATAAACACAGCCTGCTGAGTCTGTTTTTGTTGGTGGTGTGTATATTGTTTCAAGGCTGACCACTTTGCATTGTACATCTAAATCAGGGGACTCATCCCTGGGACCCCGAGAAATTCCCACCTTCTGTGTTGATATGCCCATTGATACTGTAATTGCTCTGCTCTTGCTTATTAGCTATTTTTAGGAGAGACTGTTTCACTGCAGACTTTCCTGTGTTCTGGCTCATCAGCCCTTGCTGCTTTTAGGAAACAGGGCCTCCTATCATATATAGTTTCACTTGCCTGCCTCTGCCTTTTGAGCGCTGTGTGTATGTGTCTTATAAACACAGATACTAAGGAGTTAAGACATGCTGCTTCAAATTTTTCTTAGAGCAGTGGGCTGCATAAATTAAAAACTAATTCTCCTTCAGTTATGTGGATTTAGAAAGTTGCTAGGTGGGAGCTGGAGAGATGGCTTGGCAGTGAGAGCACTTGCTGCTCTTGCAGAAGACCTCGACTTGATTTTTACCACTTAGGGCAGGCACCTCACAGATGCCAGTAACTCCAGCTTCAGGTGATCTGTTACCCTCTTCTGGCTTCTGTGGGTACTGCACTCACGTGCACAACCCCTCCCTCACATGTAAAATTCTTTGAAAAGGTGATTGGGCATATATGAGTGGTTATTCCACTTAATGTTTAGATAGGGTTGTAAGATTGAGGGGCCTTGTGAGCAAAGTAACTATGTAGTGTTAATAAGAATGAAAATAATTTGAATGTTAACTAAAAATTGTAACTTTATGGTACTTCTGAATGATGCATATTTAATGGTGCAGAAATAGCATAGAGCCATTTGTAATTTTTAAGAGATGATATTTTCTCAGAGTTTGCCTTTTATTTGCTTTTGTTCCTAAAGATATTTTCTCCCAGATGTCAGATTCCAGTGGCTTGATGATGTTTGGCAAGCTTGACCAGTTTCTGAAGGAAGCCCTGAAGCTCCCGACAGCAGTCTTTGAAGGGCCATCCTTTGGTTACACGGAACACGCAGTCCGCACCTGTTTTCCTCAACAGGTAAGGACCATTGACAGCCTTGGGCTACAGGAGCCTCCACCTTCTACCAGATTCCCCAGGTGGCTTCAGAAAGCAAGCAGCTTTAAGCTTTAAACAAGGAGTGTACCAGTGAAGGCAGGGAAGGGGGTCAAAGTTCACCCAAGGACTCGTTCTTGGATAAGGTAACATTTGAAGTGTTTGAAAGAAAAATGTTTTTAAGGATTTTTGTTGTTGTTGTTTGTTTTTGTATTATTGCAATTGAATGAATATATGTATTGTTTCTTTTTCTTTTCAAATAAAAAATTCTTTAAATCTTAAGTGCAGGGATTTTGACCTAAAGCTCTACCGACCTTGCATCATTGAGTCCTGCACAGTGCTCACCTGCCCTGCAGGTGCACCAGGCTTGCATGTGACACTGTCAGGAGTTTGGCTGCTTTTCCTGGTTTCTTACCTAGAAGTTGATATGAGTGTGTTCCGGAGAGTTTAACTCTGCCTCAGAGACTGGGATAGAGTAGTTACTCATAACTCAAGGTAGAGAACAGATTAAAGAACTAATACTGCACTTAGAAAGTTAAGAGAAACAGAAGACATCCTAAAATCAATAGAAAAAAATTATCTTCCCAGAAGATTTTTTTTAACAATTTATTTTTACTTTGTGTGCATTGGTGTTTTGCCTGCATGTGTGTCTGAGTGAGAGTGTGGGATCCCCTGGAACTAGAGTTACAGACAGTTGTGAGCTGCCATGTGGGTGCTGAGAACTGACCAGGTCCCTCTGGAAGAGCAGTCAGTGCTCTTAACCACTGAGCCATTTCTCCAACCCCGAGAAGATACTTCTTAATTACCAAAGGAAACAGTAGCTTTTCAGCTGGGAACCTATACCAGACAGGAGGCACTTCAGCCCAGCCATCAGTCATATCAGCAGCAAAGGGAGAAGCTGACAGCTGAGCAGGCTGTGTCCTGCAGCTCCCTGCTCAGACCTTCCTCTGAGATCTCATAGGTTGAATGGAATGTTGTGGAAATGTCCAAGGGTTCAATTTGTCCCACCTCAATACAGCTGTGAATCTTACCAGATTCAACAAGGTAGCTGGCCTGTACACCTAAAAGAGATTAGAATCATAAAAGAGAAAAGAACAAGGAACGTTCTGGATTAGAGTCTAACGAGATTTGAAAACTGAGTGATCCAGTGCTTTTTTCCCCCCCTGTTACGAAGGACAAGAATAGGACAGTTGGAAATATCTGAACAAAGTTTATAACCAGATAATAGTATTCTGCCACTGAATGTTAATTTCTTGATTTTGATATTTATCTTTAGCTATGTAAGAGAATTTTTTTTTTTTTTTAAGAAATTCAATCTGGGTTAGGTGTGGTGACACATGCCTTTTTAAATCCCAGCCCTGGAGAGGCAGAGGCAGGTGGACCTCTGAATTTGAGGTCAGCCTGGTCTACAGAGTGAGTTCCAGGACAGCCAGGGCTATGGAGAGATCCTGTCACAAAAAGCCAAAACAGAAGGAAGGAAGAGAGGGAAGGAAGGAAAGTTCAATCTGGAATATTTTTGGAGAAAGGAATGCCTGTCTGCAGTGAGAACGTTATGGATCTGGATTGCAGGAAAGGTTTGATAATTTTTTTAAATAACCTTTTTGTAGGTCTGAAATTATGTAAAAGTAAAAAACTATGTCCAGCCTGGTGGAGTATGTGTATAATCTCACCTTTGGGAGACTGAGGCAGGAGGATTGCTTTAGGCAGGATACCAGGCCAGACAGGTATACATGGGAGGATTTGTCTCCATCTCGCTCAAGTTAAAATGTTGAGTGAATCTTTGTGTTTTTTACCCTTTTGGTTCCTTGGGGGACCCACCACCCAGCTTTCAAATAAATCACATAGGCTTGTTCTTAGGAATGCCAAGCTTTAGCTTGGTTTATTTCTTTCCAGCTTTTTAAAAATCTAAATTATTCTATATCTTTTCCCTCTGGGCTTTTATCTTTTATTATTTCTGTATATCTTTTACTCTTACTCTGTGACTGGCCCCTAGTGGCCGCCTCTCCTTGTTCTCTCATTGCTCTGCCTCTTCCTTGGTTCTTCTTGTTTACAATGTCTGCCTGCCAGAACCACCTATCCTTGCTCCTGCCTCGCTATTGGTTGTTCAGTTCTTTATTAGACCTTAAGATGTTTTAAATAGGCAAAGAGTCACAGCTTCACAGAGTTAGACAAATGCAGCATAAACAAAAGTCACACACCTGAAAATAATATTCTACCACTAATTTTGGATTCCCAAAGCAACCCATACACATGTGTGCATCTTTTTATGTTTAAACTTTAAAGATCTGTATTTTTCTGAATCTAAATGTTAAAGAATATATTATAATTTGTGTACATGGGAGGTGGCACCAAATACCATTGAGAAATTCTTTTTTAGTAACTCCTGAGACATTATCACATTCATGCACAGTAGCTTTCCGAGAACTTTTCTTTTGTCACCTGTATTTTCTCAATTTCCAGTACAAATGGCAATCAGCATCAACCTTTAGTATATTCAAGTATTTCTACTCTCATTCTATTCTAATAAAACATAGCTTGCATTACCCTCCTAATACACATCTGCAAATGAAGCAAGCTTTCCAAACTCCGTCACCAGAATGTCCTGCAAATACTAACTAAATCCCCTCCTTGGGCGAAGGCAGTGATGACAGGGTTCCAGAAGCACAGATGGCCCTCCTTGGTGTAGCTTACTTTCTTCTTACTATTGCTACAAGAGCACTGTTACCCCAGCTGGCTGTCCACACAGCACTTTGTAGCTGCCTTATAGGTGATATGCACATGGCTCTCACACCAGATGCTTCCAGAGGCTAGGTTGGACCCTGATTTAGTTTTGGGATGCTGATTTTGAGTAAAATAGGGGCAGAATCCAGGAAAGAAATTTATAATAAAGTATCAGTGGGTGACAGTTACAGGGGTACTAAGCATTAAGTAATCTTTGACTTGGTTGTAGTTTAAGGATTATGACAAGAATGTGACACTTGAGTAATAATTGAGACTGTTGAAGGAGCTTTATAAATGGTAATTGCTAACTCAAAGAGTGCTACAAGGTCTCCCTAGAAATTTCATTGTGAGGCCTCTGAGCATACAACTTGCTATTGATTTTTCACCTGCTTCAGTTCCTAGAAAATAAAAATCAGCTGGATGTGGCGGTGTGTGCTTTAATCCCAGATCTTGGGGGGCAGAGGGGCCTCTGTGAAGTCAAGGATAGCCTGGTGTACAGAGTGAGTTCCAGAGACCCTGTCTCCAAACCACCATCCTCCTGCCCCTCTCCCCCCAAAAAAAAGAAAAAGGGAAAAAAATCAATTCACATTTTGAATATACCAAATTTGGAGAAGTCTGAGAAGCTCATGCCAGGCTAATGATACTTGGGCTTTCGTAAACTCTTGAGGGTGACGTGGTTGGAGGAAGAACCACTCAGGGGCTAATATAATTAAATAGTAAAAGCAGTTAAGGATGTGCACTCCTCTTTTAGGGTGCTGGGTTTTTTTCCCCCTCATTATCCATGTTAGGTTTCTCATAACTGCTTGTAACTGTAGTTCCAGGGGTTGTTAATGCCTCTGGCCTCTGAGGACAGTAACATTCATGTGTGAACACACACACACACACACACACACACACACACATACACACACACACACACACACTCTTATGCCTAAAAATAATCAAAGTAAATGTTAAAAATATCTTCAGAAAGAATAAAAACACTAATAGAGGGACTGGAGTGAGTCTAGACAAGGTTTAATAACAAAAATTAATTGAGCTGTGTGGTGGTAGCGGTGGTGGCAGTGCACAACTTTAATCCCAGCGTTCAGGAGACATAGGTAAGCAGATCTCTGAGTTCCAGGCCAGCTGGTCTACAGAGCAAGTTCCAGGGCAGCCAGGGCTACACAGAGAAACCTTGTCTTAAAAAAACAAAACAAAACAGATTTAAATTCAGTAAATTTTGGAGTTCTTTTTGAAAACTTGCTTTTTTCCCCTACAGTTTGCTTCCTATAGTGTATTTGTTTAATGTGAGTTGGTTTTTACAACGTCAGCCAGAGGATTGTTTCCAGGCAAATTAGAGATGGTCCTGATGCAAGCTTTCTCAATATGTTGATGCTTTGGGATGAGCAAGGAAGTGACTGATCACAGATAGAGAACGGATGGAGATTTAAGAAAAGCCTGAGGTCCTGCAGACCTTAAGTGAAAGAGTTAGGATGTCCAGCCTTTACACTGCACCTTGATACACAATCATCATGTTCAAATGTGTTGGGCCACAGAGGAGACATGCCTGAAGAGAGCATGAGCTGCTTCCCTTTCAGCAGCATTGTGATGATGGAACTGCAGCTGCAGGTGACAGGGCAGTGATGATATTTCCTCTGGCTAAAGTACAAGGTTATGAAACTGTGATTCTCAAAAGACTGATCCATGTAGGAAATGGTTGCCCCTATGAAGAAGGAACAAAGTATAGCATGTAAGCCTTAATAAAGTTTTGTCTGACTCTTAGTGGTCATGAACCAACAAACTGAATTGACAGGCTTAAGAGTTACTGAAAATAAACAGAAAATGAATTTAAATTTCTTCCCAATTTTCTAGATTCCCAAGTTTTGGAGGAAGATTGTGTTTTTTCTTTTGTGGATTTGCCCCTTGTTTGCTTACTTATTTTCTAGGTCTTGGTGCTGACTTTAGCTTGAAGAGTTGTCTACTCTACTGGAGATTTAGATCTGATGGTCTGTGGGAAGGGGAATGTGGACATCAGAGTGGAGAGGGAGGGTAGAGGGAAAGAAGGTATATCATACAACCCGGCAGTCAGTGTCTGAAGATACTGTGCTCTCCTTGATGTATAGAACAGGTGGGAATATGGAGAGAGGGGTGGCATTTTTGCTGGTCAGTTTTCAAAATAGTGAGACTATTATCTATTGGAGCTACTTCCTGATTCTACTTTATCCAACCAATCTCCTCTGGCTATATGCCAAAATGAATTTTCTTTCTACTTGGAAACATTT